ATATCTGCTTCCAGAGAGGAAGCTCCAAAGCTGCAGTCATCTGCAGTCTGCTGACTTTATTAAAGCCAGTGAAAGATCTCTGTGCAGACTGCAGTGCACTGCTCAAAAAAAAGCAGGGCCAATTTCAATATTAAAACACAGTTTTCAGACTGAGCAGCAGAAACTTTCATTACACAGTTGCTTGGGGGAAAATAAAGGCGACAAATTTATCCTGCTCAGCTATCTTGCTAATCTCCCATTTTCTACCAGCACATCACCCACATACTCTATCCATTACAGAAAGTAAAACCCTATGTTTGGCGCCGAAAGCAACAAGGTTACTGCAAACACCACAAATACCAGGCAGTCTCAATGGCTGTTTTTCGGTCTTCTGTACAAGTGAAATGCAAGGCACAAGACTGAAACGTGATCATAAAAACTCACATGCACAATGTTAAAAAAAATACTGATGGGGCACAAAGCAGGAGGGAGGAATGATGGCGAAAGCTGAAAAGCCAGAGTCACTCCACGCCATTAGATGGTGCTATCCAGCTCTTAATGCAGGATCCCAGAGCCCAGAGGCAGATTTGCTGGACAGGCTCATAAATAACACATTTCAATCCCAGGGCCCAGGCTGGTTATGGAGAGCCACCCTGCTGCCACACACCAGCAGATGGTGCGTGCTTTTAATTAGGGCCTGCTCACCCCTAATGTGACACTGGGGTGTGCGAGGGAGCGCGCGCGTGTGTGTGTGTGAAGTTAATAGAATGTACTAAATACGGAAGCTCGTTCTCATCCACAGCTGCTGTCCTAGCAGGACTTTAGGGGAAGCTGCTTATTTCTCCTGGAAGAGAAAGAACCCCGGATCATTGAGATATTGTTGCTCAATAATGGCTGAATTTCAAATCACCCTGCATATACATAGGATTAAGCTGTGCATAAATGTACCGTACTTTTTACACAAAATGAATGGTTGCCAAAAGATATCAATACCTAATGACGTTTTTCCTAGCCTAAAAACAAAGAACAACATAAACAGCATGTATCCAGTACTGTGTGCAATTCTTCTAAAGCGTAATACAAATGAGAAATGTTATCTACATAAGAAAGATCAACGGGCCTAGAGCAAATTCTTGTTCAGCGTAACATCGATGGGCTGCTTTTGGTACAGATGGTGCACTAACTGTTTCATTTTCTCCCTCTTTCTTCTCACTATACCCAAAAATTGTTGAAAAAGAAAGGCAGTGTACTTTAAAACTGGTCCAATGAAGCTTTCTGTCTGTAATTAAAAAGCATCCTCCACTGTCTTTCCCTTTTACAATCTCTTTAAACTTCTACGAATGTTAACGCTCAAAGTGAGTTAATTTACATAGGCTTAAGTAAAAGCCTTAACTTCATAGGTACAACATTACATCTCCAGTATTTTCTAAACACACTTCAAAGAACACCCCCATATCCTGATACCCTATTAAAGAGTACACTGAGATCACTTAAGAAGCTGAAGAAGCTGAACTCAAAGCTCACACCCAACACTGTATTTGACTATCAAACATCCTTTTTCCCCAGAGAGGTGTCTGGGGAACGATGACAGCTTTCCAACAGCCAAATCATTTCAAAATTATGTAAAAAGTGTGAAGATACAAACACATTGGACTTTTTTTTTTAACAATAGCTTTTTATATGCAACAGCTGTTGCAAGCAGCATCTGAATCTCAGCGCTGTCTACACTTCCAGGGTTTCTGAACTGGGTATATAACAAAACCTAGCAGCAATACCTGAACTGCAATACTGCTGCAAAGCTATGAACAGCTCAGCTCTTTTGAAAACGTAGCAATAGGTATATAGTAACAAGTGGTAAGGAAATATAAAGTATGAAGACAACCCGATCGTGCAGCGTATCTGTTTTCCTAAGAGGATTACTCTACAGGTCTTCTGGTTGATGAAGAGAGGCCTTGCGGCCTGCGTTTCCATTCAACACCCATAACGCACCAAAAATGCCCATGTCCCACCTGAGGGCACAGCTGAGAATGGCAGGGGAAGCGAGCGCAGCGATCTCTTCATAACAACCTGGAGCATTAACCTAAAAGAAGCACTCACTACCTGAAGAGATGAGATGAGAAGCACCCTAGCACCGGGCCCTCCCTCAGGTTAAATGGTTAAATGGCTTCAGCGACAGCCTAAGCAACAAGCTCTCCGGAGAAACCCTTCAAGTGCCCAAGCAGATATGACAGGACCCCACACTCAAGCAGCTCCTCTGTGTCTCTGGGAAAGCTCCTAGGCGCAAGAGCGAGCGTTCATTAACAAACATGGTTACAAACAAAAATCCAATCTACTATTTTTCTCCCCTTTCTTTGGGAATAGATACTGAAAAACTGCCCGAAAACACAACTGAAGTGTTTTTTTGGGCTTTTTATCGGCCATCTGCATGTACTGAAATTTTAATAGAAAACACTTTGTTTTTGTCTTCTGCGAAGATTTTCTAGCTCACTAGCAATCACAGGCCCCAAGTAAGACTGCACAGTTAAATACATTTGCTTATAAATACATACCACTTTCTGTGATCTCTACTTATGTGCATCTGTCACACAATTAAATCCCAATTAAATGAAAAGTATGTGCTTAATGAGTAATAGTTTCAGCATATCCATGCAGGTGAGTGTCTATGCAAGGTAACAGATGCCCATAAATAGCAAACAAAAGGACTGGCTGGGGGTTGATTTGAGAAAAATGCCAGGGCCAAAGCATTGGGAGAGACCCACAGGCAAAGGGCACTAACTGTTAATGTTAGAAGACAACAATGAAATAATAGTGAATACAAAGAGTTATCGCTAGAAAACACAGCCTTTTTCCTCACACTCAGTCATTACCTCTAACTTCGATGAGCCCAACCTTTTTCCTTCCCTGAAGCACAACTGAAATCCTATCATGTGTCATATCCTCATAAAAACGAAGCCTACCAGCAGGGAAATCTGAAACAATGAATGTTAAAGAAAAATGAAATCACAACCCAGGTACTTCAGAATATAATTGCTGTTTGGGGATTTAGATATTTTTATCTCAAAATGTTTACTTATTTGATGCCTGACCACAAAATAAAAATCACTTTTCAAATCTTCACTGTTGTACCTCTGTACGCAGCTAAAACAGAGCATAAGGAAAAAAAGCTGACACACCATGCGAAGCAGATTTGCCTTGAGCTACAGAGTATTCTGCCCTCAAAATAAATCGGACCAAGTAATATTTGTCTCTGCGCTACTTTGCATTTACCAGCATGCAAGATACGCTGAAGGCTTAAGTCATTTTTCAAAAGCAGCCTTATAAATATGGTGACATTTAATCTCTGTGACTGTGAGCAAAACCAGCGTATTAATGGAGCCCATCACAGTTAGAGGCAGCACACTGCTAAACATAATAGCCATTACAAATTGCTGGTTGCTGATCACTGATAGGAAGATTGAAGAGGAAGACTATGATATATAACCTCTGCAAACAAAACAGATCACAGGGGAAGAGGACTTCAAAATACTCAAGACTTCTTCAAAAAAGAAATAAAGTGAAATGACTCTTTTCCTCATTAGCTTAAGTTGTTTTTAATAAATTAAGGTGAGCAAGCAGTATCCAGTCTCTAGAAACCCGCTACAGTTGTTACTTCTGCAATGAAGTATATGATGCTCTTAGTTAAGAGGGTAATATGCAAAAGTGTGATATGGATATGTGGGGTAATAGTACCCCATCAGGTGAGGGATTCTTTTTAGAAATGATTCCCTTTTGGTAAATCTGTTCTGAATTCCTTTTTCTTACTTCTTTTCTTGCCCAACTAAAATCCATTAATTTAATGTAGGGACAAAATGTATTTTCAGCATTTCCTGTTATTCCTGGCAAGTGTGCACTGGATGAAACCTGCCTCACTGAACTAGAATTACATAAAATGTAACAATTTTAGATAAAATTTAAAAGTTTTCATAATAAAAAATCTGCAGAAAAATCATTTTAGGTTAAACTTTTACTCCTTGATCAGATATCAGTGCAGATGCCTCCATACACAGAGCTACTTCAGAGGGAAGTAGTATGGAAGGAATATTTCTATATATATGCATTTGTACATAGGTCCAAGAATATATATGCATTTGCATAGGTCCAAGCAACAGTGGCAGACAATGTATATGCATTTGTACACACACAACATGCACACCCCCCCATGAAATTATGTGCCTTTTTTGCCCCAACAATGGCTTCACTAAAAGTCAGCAATAGGTCCAAGCAACAGTGGCAGACAATCACAATTTAATAGTAAAAATAATACATTAGAAATATTTGACAACAAAATTTTGAGATTGGAAAAGGCTCACTTTGGACCATTCTTCTCCATGTCTTTACGCTTCACAGGGAAGAATGCAGTGACTTTTTCTGTTAAACACGGTAACAACATAAGGGTGTGGATGTAGTTTTACCAGCAAGGTTGTTTCTCAAGCCCTGTCACTAGACACCTTTTCAGCACTGCCATCTCAGGGTATAGTACAGCAAAGGTGACACAGGCTAATCCTGGAACTAGGATTTGGTTTTTGCAGTGCAGGTGGTGTGCTGGATGGAGCAGGGAGGAGAAGAAAAGAAGAGTAAAGAAACAGGAAAATCGCCTTTGGTTAGAGAGTTAGAAAACTTAATACCAAAAGGGTAGACCTTCAAGCAGATGGGAGTCTTTCAAGTATCGTATGTTGATTAATGCAGGATTATTTCCTTGATTTAATTAATCACAAATCCTACTTTTTTTTTCCTACCTAAACTCTTTGCAAAATGCTATGGAACGAAACCTAAAACTTACTATGCGTCAGTATCTACGGAACTGCCAAGAAATGTCAGGGAAGAGTACAGCACTAGACACACTTTGTAAGAGAGGATTACCCCCAAAGAACACAGGACAGGAA